GAGAGAGAGAGAGAGAGAGAGAGAGAGAGAGAGAGAGAGAGAGAGAGAGAGAGAGAGAGAGGGCATTTGACGACTGTTAATAATCGGACCCACCCCCTATATAGCGAGAGGGAGAGGGATGGAGAGAGGGGAGAATAGCGAGAAACGGGGGAAGTGCGAGGGAGAAAGAGATGGCGAGAGGGACAGGGGGAGAGAGATCTCAGTGTGATAGATAGTAATCTCCTGGCCACTCTATTCTTTTCCTCGCGGCACGCCCGCCATCACTTCAATTCCCGCCGTAGATTATTGTAAATGTTATTATAAGGGAAAAAAGGCGGAAAAAAACAGATGAGGAAATATTGACTGTGTGATATTCCTACATCCTTTGAGAGCTTTTTCTCTGGAGAGGCCTTTAACGGAGACCCTAATTTTCAGACTTGCCATTTATAACAAAACTCGAGGGTCGTTTTATCCAAACTTACCACCAAGTCATAGAGTAGAGATCATAGTTACTGAGTGCAAAAGAAAGTCCGATTAAAAAAAAACCGATAAAAAAACCGATAAAAAAAACCGATAAAAAAACCGATAAAAAAAACCGATAAAAAAACCGATAAAAGAAAACGATAAAAAAACCGATAAAAAAAATCGATTAAAAAAAAGCCGATAAAAAAGAAACCGATAAAACAGCAATGCAAAAGTGCACTTCATGCAAGTTTCGCCAATGTTGAGTTTCAGAAATCTTATTAGAGGAAATTCCAATGCTCCAAATGAGACAAAATTTGGTACACAACAACCTTGCACCAAAACAAAAACAGGCGAAAAAAAAATAAATGAATAAAATTTGACCCCAAACCCTAATTTCAGTTTTGGGCCTGTTAGTCAGGAGCTGAAACTGGGGGTCCCCGTTAACCACGTGTGTCCGTCAGTCTATTGCTATCATATATCTTTTTCTTTTTTTAATTTCCATCTCTAATGCTCATCAGTCCCGCGTCGTAATCAAATGCAGAGTTGGTGATCCCATCTGAATGATCTTAATCAAGCCGCGTCGTTCGTCTATTTCCCAAACAATCCTGTCTGTCAAGAATTCTCCCACTCGTCAAGATGGTGAATTAATTGATTAAAACAATCGGTAAAAGGATTTGATTAATCTTGGTGAACGGATGTGATCAATCTCGGTTAATACTTATGAGCGGCCGTCGGTTTCGTCGGTTGATTTCCCCTCTACTGTTTTTTCGTACGTACGGCCATCCTCAACCGTTATCCCTTTGTGCAATTCACTATTGACATTCCCAATTTCGGCGACTTTTGAACGGAAATTGTCACGGCTTATTGGGTTCCCGCCAGTAGGAAAGGACCCGGCGATTTCAGTTCCCGCCAGTAGGACCTGGCGATTTCAGTTCCCGCCAGTAGGAAAGGACCTGGCGATTTCAGTTCCCGCCAGTAGGACCCAACGATTTTAGTTCCCGCCAGTAGGAAAGGACCTGGCGATTTCAGTTCCCGCCAGTAGGAAAGGACCCAACGATTTCAGTTCCCGCCAGTAGGAAAGGACCCAACGATTTCAGTTCCCGCCAGTAGGAAAGGACCTGTGGTCTCGGCCCACATGCGGCCGTGTAGTATAGTTTTCTGTTACCTGTGTGACAGTGGGATCACTGCGGACCTTTGATCATCTGACAGACGGACGGTAGGATTACGCAACCGGCCCTTTTGGAAGGGGAGCCAGCAGCCTACTGTTTTGTGATTGGTTGGGGTGTCATATGTTGGGGTCACGTTGGGGATGGCAGGAGAGGCACGGGCGTTGTAGTTTTCTATGAGTTCTTTTTTCAGATAGTAAACGACACGGGGATTTTCCTCTTCAGTGAATGCAGGGGGAAGGTAAGACCAGGGGCAAGGTCCCACTTGCGCAAATTAGAAGATTTCGGCCGTTGATCTTTGCTATCTACGGTCAGTATCTCTTAATTCGTGCAAGTGGGACCTAGCCCCAGGTTTGGTTTGTCAGAGACATTTCTAGGGCCCCAAGGATCTAGTCTGTCCAATAGGAGGAATAGGAGGAATAGGATGTGGCACACCCATGAACTGTTGAAAGGAAGACCTGAGTTCGATTCCTAATGACACTAGATGAATGAAATCAAATGAGAAGATTATTCAACCTTCTTTTCCCGCCTTTTGGAGTCACACAGTTGTAGAAAACTAAACTACACGGGGCGCATGTGGGCCGAGACCCCCGGCGATTTCAGTTCCTGCCAGTAGGAAAGGACCCGGCGATTTCAGTTCCCGGCAGTCGGAAAGGACCCGGCGATTTCAGTTCCCGCCAGTCGGAAAGGACCCGGCGATTTCAGTTCCCGCCAGTAGAAAAGGACCCGGCGATTTCAGTTTGAAAAATGCCGAAATTGCGGGCAGGAATGTGAAAAGTTAAATGCCCAAAAGGGCATTTCTTTGTCAATGTAATCAATCCATGGACATGCTACACACATGGTCTGATGTTTATCGCATTTCATCATCTTACTTGAATCAAGCGCGGAACACTGTTCCACGCAATAAACGTCGCTCAGAATATTGGTCCAACGGTATTTTTCTTTTCCCCTTCCTCTGTCTCGCTGCATGTCCCTCTCTCTCTCTCTCTCTCTCTCAATGCGCAGAGAGGAAATGGGGTGTTTCTCGCTGGCCTTCTCTCTTGAGAGACAGACCACGAAGAGCCGACGGACATTCAGTCTTGCCAGCTGGTCATGTTAGCACAATACGGGATATCCAATGATACCGTCAAAAAAAGAAACCAAAAAATTCAAACCCTGGCATCAAGAAAAGTTAGGTTCATCCACAAGAAAAAAGAAAAAAAGAGAAGAAGATTCAGTCCGTTGCTTCTGAAAGAATTGTGAGAGAGAGAGAGAGAGAGAGAGAGAGAGAGAGAGAGAGACCGGACTATCTCATTGGCATTGGCAATGTTTGCAGGCATAGCCGCACTGGCTTTACTTGTTTTTTATTTTAAATTTGGTAAAGAATTTCGATGTGAGGGACAAGTTGTTCAGTTTATTTTCTGCATAACAATTTTCTTTTCAGTTTTTTCTTTTGCTGGGACCGTCTTTGGACCCTGCACGGCCCGTCCGCCCGGGCAAACAAGGTGACGCGGGCGACCCGGGCTGGTAGCCTAGGTTCTCGGGCCTTTTCTTCCTCATTCCGGCGTTTTTTTTTTCTTTTTTTTCTTTCCCACCCACCCCTCGTTCTTTTATGTTGTAATCACGGGGGGGGGGGTGATTCCGTGAACTCGTGTGCCTCTTTTCCTATGTGATTCTGTGGGCCTCGCTCCACCACTCACAACGTGCACAAGAAGACACATTATGGCGGTGCATCTTTCCGTGTTCTAGGGGAAGATTCCTCCTCCTCTTGCACATTTGGTGAGTGGTGGAGATAAGGCCCTTTTTTCTTTCCAGGTCTTCAGCTTGATATACGTAATAATCAAAGAACACAGCTTTCTAAGAATCACATGTACCAATCGCCCCCCCCCAAAAACAAAAGAACAGAAAACGACAAACGAAAACGAATACGGATCGCTAGCACAGCACACCATACTGGTGTCAAACGAAGGCCATCATTTCCCGAATAGACCACACGGTCTGTATCTGGACTGAAAGTTGCTCCATATACGGCCGTAATGACCGTACCTTCTATTCGAGGGAAAAAAGACTTGTTAATCTTCAAAAAGGGTAGCCGTGTGTGGACTGGAACCGTAATCTATGCATCGTCCTTCTCCTTCTCCTTCTCCTCCTCCTCCTCCTTCTCCTTCTCCTCCTCCTCCTCCTTCTCCTTCTCCTCCTCCTCCTCCTCCTCCTCCTCGTGCTGCTGCCGTTGGTGCTCCTTTTATTTCTCCTCCTGAGATCACATTTTTTCTGGAAAAAGTTAAAACATGCAGGAGGAGGGGGAGAGGAGGAGAAGGAGGAGAAGAGAGGAGGGGGAGGAGGAGAGGAGAGGAACGGGAGGAGGAGAATGACGAGGAGAAAGAAGTCCTTTCTTAATTAGGGCAACAAAAAGCAAGAGTAGCAGTGAGGGGGTTTAAAAAAAGGAGGGATGGAGGGATGATCACCTCTTATGGGAGGAGGAGGGAGGGAGGGATGATCACCTCCCATAAGATGGATAAGGGTTAAAAAAAGGAGGGAGGGATGATCACCTCTTAGGCTCCCCCTATCAGCAGCATCGTCATAGCATAGGGGTGAAAGGAGGAAGATGGTTAAAAAAAGGAAAAAAAAAAAGCGCTAATTTAAAAATTATCCTTCCCAGTTTGTGCGTAACTTGTCCACGTATGCATTGCGTGAATTAGACACAGAACCTGCATTCCTTTCCTCCATCACCTCCATCACCTCCATCACCTCCATCATCTCAATCACCTCAATCACCTCTATCGGCCTTCATCACCTCGATCACCTTCATCACCTCCATCACCTCAGTCACCTCTATCGTCTTCATCACCTCCATCACTTGCATCACTTGCATCACTTGCATCACTTGCATCATCTCCGTCACCTCGATCACCTCCATCACCTCCATCACCTCCATCACCCCCATCACCCTCATCATCTCCATCATCTCCATCATCTCCATCACTCCATCACTCCATCACCTCGATCACCTCATGACCTCCATCACCCCCATCACCCCCATCACCCCCATCATCTCCATCATCTCCATCACTCCATCACCTCGATCACCGCATTACCTCCATCACCATTATCTCCTTCTCCTCCATCATCTCCACCCCCTCCATCATCTCCATCCCCTCGATCACCTCATTACCTCCACCGTCATCACCTCCATCACCTCCATCACCTCCATCACCTCCATCACCTCCATCACCTCCATCACCTCCATCACCTCGATCACCTCGATCACCTCATTACCTCCACCTTCATCACGTCCATCATCTTCATCACGTCCATCATCTTCATCACGTTCATCATCTTCATCACGTCCATCACCTGGTTCTCCTTCTCCACCCTTCCCTCACGCTCTGTTCCTTGCTCTCTTCTTGCTTCTTGATCTCCAAACTTTTCTTCCTGTTCCATAACCGCCTCCTTACCTGATATGCCTTCACTTTTGTTCTTTTTTTTCTTTCTTCTTCTTCTTCTTTGTGGATCCTGTCACTCACTTCTTGTATGAGAGAAAGACAGCCCGGCGATCCTGTCACTCACTTCCTCCTCCCGTCCCCTCCCCTCCCATTCCCTCCCCCCCCTCCTCTGCATGAGAACGGAGGAATTGGATACCCCAAAACAACCACTCCGTTACGCAAAAGAGCGAAATCCAAAGACGCACAAAACCAAAAGACAAGACAGGAGCTGTCGTCTGTTTTGTCTGTCTTTTGTTTTCTTTCGCTTTCACTCTTGGAGTTGTCTTTTGTTTTCACAAAGATAAAGAGCAAACTCTGAGAACAAGAAAGCACGATAATCCATAGAGATTACTGAGCTGTCTTTTTTCTTTCTTTGTTGTTTTTTCTCTTTTTTTGTTTTTTTTTGGGGGGGGGTAAGGAGGAGCGAGGGTGAAAAGTTGACAAACAAAGAGAAAGAAAAGAGGGAAAAAAAAAACTTCTGGTTCCTACCTCTTCTTCCCCCGAATACAACGTAGGATCATTGTAGCTATATTTAGACTGAAAGATCCCCCAAATACAGCTATTATGACCGTACGTTGTATTCGGGGAAAGAAGGTAGCAAGCAGGAGGTCGCTGGTTCGAATCACGAATCGCACTCTCAAAGGTAGTGTGAAAGCATGTGGCTGGTGTGACATGGGATTAGCATAGGTTCGGCTTAGGCTGGTGGGCGGCATGCAGTTGGCACTGCTCGTCTATCCTTCCTTTGGCTCGTAGAAGGCGGCAGGTGGTGTGTTCGATTCACAGATTGAAATGTCAGTCGGTGTCACGTCGGTGTTTGCTTGCTAGCTACAGTCCATTTAACCCAACACAAAAAAACGAGCATCAACCGAACTTAAAACCTAAATTGAGCCCAAATCATACCCTGAACCCAAAACCCAAATCAAACCCAAACCAAACCCAAATCAAACCCAAATCAAACCAAGTCAAACCCAAATAATCGAGTTTAGGTCTAGGAGTGATTTTGTATCCCATGTTTGGATGACGGCGTGGGAAATCTGGGCCCTAAGGAGGGGAGGGGGGGGGGGGGGGGGGGGTGTATTTGACTGGCGGCCAGGCAAAAAAGAGAGGATAGCCATGTTTGACAATGATTTTTTTTTTTTTTTTTAATTAGCCATGTTTTTCTTTCCATAAATATTTCGGATGACTTATGGATGAAGTGATGTTGAGCATTTGAAAAGATCTGATTATCCGAGACCGAAAAGAGACACCTAGAACCGTGGTTGGGTTTTACTGATTTTATCGCCCATGTAGCTGAACCTACACCAACATTCTTCTACCCTTAACAGTCGGTAAACCCAACCACCCCGTGTTAATTGGTACTGTGGGGTGGTTGCGTTTACTGACCGAAACTACCATTAATGGGTAATGGGGGGTGGTTGGGTTTACTGACTGTTGAATCTAGCTACGTACGAAGGATTCCCCGCCCCCTCCACTCTCCCCCCCCGTCCCCCCTTTTAACATACAAAGGATATCATATATGAGTGGTTTAAGTGGGACTCCATAATGTTTGTTCATTGTGTCAGAAGCAATGTTTTTTGTAGCCATCTTAACCCTAAACCCTAAACTAAACGTAAACCCTAAACCTGAACCGAACCTACAACGGATCCTACAACCGGCCTACATGAACCTAAGCCGAACCAAAATTAGTCTGAGCGCATCTAAATCAGAGACCTAAAGCCGTAAATCGCACCTCAATCGAACCTAAACCGAATCCATACCAAACCCACACGGAACCTACACCAAACCTAAACCGAACCTAAACCCTAAACCTATATCAAACCTAAATCGAACCCAGACCGAACCTAAACCAAACCTCAACTAACCTAAATGGAACTTAAGCCAAACCANGAACCTAAACCCTAAACCTATATCAAACCTAAATCGAACCCAGACCGAACCTAAACCAAACCTCAACTAACCTAAATGGAACTTAAGCCAAACCAAAACCAAACTTAAATCGAACCTACGCCAAACCTAAACTGAACCTAAACCCTAAACCTATATCAAACCTAAATCGAACCCAGACCGAACCTAAACCAAACCTCAACTAACCTAAA